AGGCAGAGTCTGGAAAAATTATCATAGGGAACAGAGAAGTGGCAGAGAAGCTAAACAACTTCTTTGTATCTGCTTTCATTGTGGAAGATGCAAGAAATCTTCCATAAATAGAGACCTAGAATGAGAAGTTGAAGGAAATTACTGTTAGTAAGAAGATTATACTTGAGAAATTAATGGGTCTGAAAGTTGAAAAATTCCCAGGACCTGATGGTCTTCATCCCAGAGTGTTGAAGGATGTGGCTACAAAGATAGTCACTACATCTGTGATTATCTTCCAAAATTCTATAGACTGTGAATGATGCCTGTGTATTGGAAGGTTGCAAACCTCACCCCATGATTAAAGAAGGGAGCGAGAGAATAAACAGGGAACTGCAGACCTGTTAGCCTTACTTGTGAAGGAAACCGCTAGGTCTATTATAAAATGTTGGAGTAAATAGACACCTGGTTGATAATGATATGCTTGAGCATAGTCAGCATGAAATTGTGAATGGGAAATAGTGTTTGATGAACCTGTTGGAGTTCCTTTGAAGATGTAACGAATAAAATTGATAAAGAGGAGCCAATGGACACAGTATAATAAGATTTTCAGAAGGCATTGGATAAAGACTCCCACAGGAAGCTGGGTAGAAAGATTAAACACACAGGATAGGAGGTAATGTACTGGCATGGATTACTGATTAGCTAATGGGCAGAAAGGGGAAGAATAAATGGGGCATTCTAATGTTGGTGGGCTGTGTGGTGTATCACAAGGATGAGTACTTGGTTCCCAGCTGTTCACAATACATATTAATGATTTGGAGGTGGGGACTGAATATAATATTTCCAAATTTGTAGGTAATACTAATCCAAGTAGGAAGATGTAAAATGGCTCCAAGAGGATTTGGACAGACTTAGTGAATTGACAGATGGAATATAATATGGAAAATACGAGGATGTCCACTTTGGTAATAGAAACAGATGAGCAAAATATTTCTTAAATGGTCAGAGGTTAAAAGTGTAGATGCACAAAGGGACTGGGGTGACCATGTTGATAAGTCACATGCAGCTGAAATAAGCTATTAAAAAGGCTGATGAAACGTTGGCCTTTATTGCAAGAGGATTTGAGTACATAAGTAGCAAAGTCTTGCTTCAATTGTATCAGGGCTTGGTCAGACTGCATCTGGAGTTGTGTGTAGTTTTGCTCTTCTTGCCTCAGGCAAAATATTATTGCCATAGAGGGAGTGCAATGAAGGTTCACCAGCCTTGTTCCCAAGATTACGGGACTGTCGTAAGAAGAGAGATTATGCAAACCAGGCCTGGATTGTTTAGAGTTTTGAAGGATGAGAGATGATCTCATTGAAACCGACAAAATACTTAAAAGGATAGATAGGATGGATGCAGAAAAGATGTTTCCCCCAGTTCAGGAGTCTAAAATCAGGAAACATGATTGAAAAATAAGGTGGATGTCACCTTTAGTATGAGGGGAGGCGAAATTATTTTATTCAGAGAATTGCGAAACTTTGGAATTCTCTGCCACAGAGGACTGTGAAAGCTCAGGCATGAGAATGCCGTGACGCACAGGGTTATAGGGGTGTGGCAAATACAAGGCATAAAGTAAGGAAGACACAATCACAAAGACGGGGTTGTACAATACTTCCCAATAACCAGCAGGAGATAGAGGATCAGATATGTCGGCAGATCACAGAAAATGTAAAAACAATAGGGTTGTTATAGTTTCCTGACATTGACAGATAGTTCCTTAGGGCCAGGGGTTTGGATGAGACAGAATTTGTTAGGTGCATCCAGGAGGGTTTCTTGAAACAATGTGTAGATGGTCCAACTGGAGAACGGGCCATACTGTGTTTAGGAACGAACTTGGCTAGGTGATTGAAGTTTCAGTGCGAGAGCATTTTGAGAACAGTGGTCATAATTCTGTAAGTTTTAAGACAGATATGGATAAGGTTGGTCCTCAGGTGAAAGTGTGAAACTTGGGGAAGGCAAATTAAAACAATATTAGACAGGAACAGGAGAAATTAGATTGGGGTGGCTGTTTAAGAGTAAATCCACATTTCATGTGAGGGAGTCTTTTGAAGTCCAGTTGATTAGAGTTCAGGACAAGCATGTTCCTGTAAGGATGAAAGATATGGATGGCAAGATTCAGGAACCCTGGATGACAAGAGATATGAAGGTTCAGTCAAAAAGGAAAAGGAAGCATATGTAAAGTGTAGGAAACTTGCATCAGACAAGGCTTTTGAAGAAAATAAAGGAAGCAGGAAAGAACAGTCAAGGAATTAGGGGAGTTAAAACGTGCCATAAAATGTCCTTGACAAGTAGAATTAAGGAGAATTCCAAAGCATTTTATATGTATATAAGGCACAAGAGGGTAGCTAGGGAAGGAGTAGATCCACTCAGGACAAATGAGGGAATTTATGGATGGAGCAAGATTCTTAATGAGGACTTTGCATTAATATTCACCAAAGAAGACATGGATAATGTAAGATTAGGGAGGGATATGTTAATATTAAGGAGGTGGTGCTGTTGGGTATCTTGAAAAACGTTAAGGTAGTTAAGTTTCTATGGCCTTTTGGGATCTATCTTTGTATACTGAGGGAGGTAAGGAAAGAGATTGTTGGGGCCTTGACAGAGATCTTTGCATCCTCTTTAGCCACAGGCGTGATCTCAGAAGACTGTCGAACAGCCAATGTTATTCCTTTGCCTAAAAAGGGAAACGGATAATCCAGGAAATTATAGGCCAATAAGCCTTACTTACATCGGTGGTAGCAAAATTACTGGAGAAGATTCTTAGGTTTAGGATTTTCTCACATTTGGAAAAGAATGATGGGCAACTTTTCACTCAGAGGGGTAGTTTGTGCGTGGAATGAACTGCCAGAGGAAGTGTAGGATGCAAGTACAGTTACGACATTTAAAAGACATTTGGATAGGTACATGAATAGGAAATGTTTAGAGGGATATGGGCCAAAAGCAGGCAAGTGGGACTAGTTTAGTTTGGGAAACTTGGTCAGCTTGGACAAGTTGGGCCAAAGGGCTGTTTCCGTGCTATATGATTCTCTGACTCTTATAATGGACTTAGTGGGGATAGTCAGCATGGATTTGTGTGGGAGGAGAAGGTCTTGTCTCTCAAATTTCATCAAGTTTTTTGAGGAAGTGACGAAGGTGATTGATGAGGATAGGCCAGTGAATGTTCTTTACATAGACTTTACCAAAGCATTGGGCAAGGCCTCTCATGGTACACTGGTCCAGAAGATTAAGTCACATGGGATCCACGGTGGATACAACATGGGCTTAGTCACAGAAGACAGACGGTAGTTGTAGAAGGGTTATTTTCTGCCTGGAGGTCTGTGATCAGTGGTGTTCCACAAGGATCAGTGATGAGACCTCTGTTGTTTGTAATATATAAATACATGATTCGGATGAAAATGTAGGTGGTCTGATTAGCAAATTTGTAGACAATATGAACATTGGTGGAGTTGTGCATGGAGAAAACGGCTGTCAAAGGATACAGCAGAACAGATAGATCAGTTGGAAAGTTAGGCAGAGAAATGGCAGACGGACTTTGATCTGGGCAAGTGAGAGAGGATGCATTTTGGGAGATCAAATGCAAGAAGAAAGCATATAGTCAATGGCGGGATCCCTCAGAGCGTTGATATACAGAGGAATCTTGGGGTGCAAATCCATAGCTCCCTGATAGTGGCAACACGAGGCGAGGTGATGGCCTAGTAGTATTATTGCTGGACTATTAATCCAGAGACCCAGGCAATGCTCTGGGGACCCGGGTTCAAATCTTACCACGGCCATTGCTGGAATTTGAATTCAATAAAAATGTGGAAGTAAGAATCTAATGATGACGAATAACTCCGTTGTCGATTGCCAGAAAAACCCATCTGGTTCACTAATGTCCTTTAGGGATAGAAACTGACTTCCTTACCTGATCTGGCCTACATGTGACTCCAGACTCACAGAAATGTAAGTGATTCTTAACTACCCTCTGGGATGGGCAAACAGATGCTAGCCTAGCCAGTGATGCCCTCATTCCATGAATGAATTTTAAAGCAAAATGTGAGGATAAAATGGTAAAGGCGGTGTATGGTATACTTGCCTTCACTGGTCGGGACGCTGAGTAAAATAATTGGCAAGTCATATTCCAGTTGTAGAACCTTTAGTTTGGTCATATTTGGTGTACAGTGTGTAGTTCGGGTTGCCACATTATAAGAAGGATTTGGAGCTTTGGTGAAGGTGCAAAAGAGGTTACCAGAATGTTGCCTGGATTGAATTGCATTAGCTATCAGGAGAGGTTGGACAAACTTGGATTGTTTTTGCTAGAGCAGAAGCTGAGGAGTGGCCTTATAGAAGTATATAATAAAATGAGAGGCATGGATAGGATGGATGGGCAGAGTCTTTTTCCCAGGATAGAAATGTCTAATATGAGGGGAGAGGGGTAAGTTTAAAGTAGATGTGCAAGGACATTTTTGTTTTTACACCAAGAGTTGTGGATGTCTGGAATGTGCTGCTGAAGGAGGTGGAAAGCAAAGTTAAAGAGGCATTTAGACAGATGCGTGAACAGGCAGGGAACAGAGGGATATGGACCATGTGCTGGCAGTTGGGATTAGTTTAGAATAGCATCAAGGTTGGTGCAGACATGTGGGCTGAAGGGCCTGCTTGTGTGCTGTACTGTTTTAAGTTCTATGTGATCAGCCTTGGTCATATTGAATAGTAGAGCAGGCTCAATGGTATGAATGGCCTACTCCTGTTCCTGTGAGCCTATTATAGTCACTTGGAGTTTTGGCGTGTAAATGCAATTTTTATATCACATAACTTCAACGCTATATATTCACTTCACCTGACAAAGGGGTTACGCTCCAAAAGCTTGTGTTTTCAAAAAAACCTGTTGGGCTATAACCTGGTGTCATGTGATTTCTGATCTATATTTTCATCAAGATAGAAGCACATGTAAGGAATACTGTATACATATACATGGAAAGATCTTTTGACTTTTACATTACCTCTTGTCTGATGGTTTCCGTTGGTAAAGCATTAATTACAGTCAGGAGGGTCTCCAACCATGCATTGCTGACCACTGGCCAAAAAAGAAAACATAATGGACTTTGATGTTATTGTAAGTTATGAGTTTAATATGCAAAATCAACTACACTATCTAATCTTATAAGTTAGTGCACGAGATACATGATGCGCAGTTGCATTAAAAGGTATTGATTTTTATACATTTTTAAAATGAATACACTTAGAGCAAGGAAACAAAATAGTGATATCTGGTAGAGTTTCTACTACTTGGCTCAGCTTGTCAATCTAAGAGTATTAAAGGCAGCACTCCCTACCATCATCAGGAGATAGTGCCAATAAAGCTTATGAATGAAGCAGCAATTGTCTTTTAACATTTCAAACATGTATTTTGACAATACTCAATGATGGATTGTTTTTGGGCAGGTTTATTTTTAGGAATAAATATTTTGAAATAGTTTTTGGTGAAGAGAAATATTTTTCAGTTATAAGTGCATTGGAAGGGAGTTTGCAGGGATAAAGGGACGGAAAAATAGTAGCAAAAATGATCCATCCCAGATGTAAATTGGAATGCAACAATTTTAACTTTTAATTACGTTTTGATAATATGTCTGAGGAAAAATCTAGGCTTGGATTATTGTTTTCAAGTCTTTATTTTGATATGGTTAGTTAATACGAATTCTCGCACAAGGAGGAAAAGCACACAATGGAGAAAATCCTTTCTATAAACTTCTATAAATCCTCTCTTTATACAGAGGTTTAATCTACTCTGCCATGGACTCTGCCACTTAGTTCATTGCCTGAGGGAATGCTGCCAAAAGTATTCCTAATTTATATAATCAAGTCCAATACCAGATGTATGTCCATTCACCATCTCAACAAAGTAATCCTGAATTGATGCCCTCTACCAGCAAAGTTCTGTTTCTTTGAAAGGAGTTGTAGTGGAATATTTATTTGTCCCATCGAATTTATAACTATTTACAATGAAGTAACCTTTCCACAGAATTTAAGTAAAAATTATTCAAATTATTAAAAATAACTACAGAATAAATGCTGGCCTAGCCAGTGACGCCCTCATCCCGTGAATGAAATGTTTCTTAAAGTCATTCTCGTACTCCTCATAACCCTCAATCCCCTGATTAATCATGAATCTCTCTCCCTCTCTCTCTCTCTCTCTCTCTCTCTGTCTGTCTTAAATGCACTCAATGCTAACATAAACGTTAAAAGATCACATGCATTTTTCTATTCTGGTAATATACTTCACCTTAACTTTTCTGGAAATGGTCTTTTGCAAAGATACAGCAGAATTATTTTTAGAGCAGCAGTTCTTCAATTTAAGAAAGACTAAAAGCCACATAACTGAATTTAAAATTACACCATTCTAAATATGCAATGAAGAACACAGCTCAACAGTTTTTCTTAACAGGTAAACTGCAAAAAACTGACCTGTATCTCTGTGATCCAAGTTTGCCAATATGATTGGGAGAAATGAATGTATATAAGCTGCAATGGAAACTAACTCTTCTTGCAAGATGGTAAGGAAAGAAACCGCAGCAGCTAATTGCATCTCCACCCCCGCAACATGCAGTACTTCCTACAAAAAAGGAAGCCTTCATTAAAAAAAAAGTAAAATTGCTGGAAAATAACTTAGTTCACATTATTTTCCAGATATTATAAATATAGTTAAAAAATGGCACAGCAGAATGAGTTAAACAAAGCAAAGCATCCTTTCAACATCTACATGGACACAGAAAGCTCACACAAACCACACTGAGATCATCATCAGCTTATCGGCTTTAATAGCACTGGTTGAAGTAAAAATACTAGGGAGAACTCCAGCGTATATAGGTCCAACCTACTCAACTTGTCCTCAAGAAATTCCCTCCATGTCCAGAATCAACCAAGTGAACTTTCTCTGGGCTGCCTCCAATGCCAGCAGTATTCCTGTTAATTTTGTTATCAGCTGCATGGACCTCAGAGGTCTAAATGAGGAAGATAAGACTGTTCACTGTGTTTGACGTGTGGTCTGTCAAGTGCCTTGGATAGTGTTAGGAAGGTTTCCCTATTATATGTACCATTCCCTTTGACTTAAAGGCCAACAGTCTACATGCATTCCCTATTGCTGTTGTGTAATTTATGCATGAGGGCTCCCAAACCTCTCTGTGCTACAGCTTTTTTCACCATTTAAGTCATATTCAGCTCTTCTATTCATCCTATCAAAGAGCATTTCCCCACATTGTATTCCATCTATGAAGTTTTTGCCCACATCATTTATAAAGTGACAGTTTCACAATGATGTGTTAAGCTAACTGGCTTTTAATTACCTGATATTTTTTGTCTCTGTCGCTTTTTGAATAAGAGTTTTACATTGTCACTTTTCCAACCTTCTGAAGACTACTACTCGTGCATCACCATCTCTGTACATATTTCTTTGAAAATGCAAGGATGCAACCCAAAAGATCCAGGAGACTTACTAACCTTTAGTCCCATTGGTTTCTCTAGTACTTTTTCTCTCGTGATGGTTACTGTTTTTACTTCCTCCTCCCAAAGCTCCATGAAGCAAGAATATTCATTGTACTCAAGTATATGCATATGAATTTGGAATGTTGTAATGTACAAGGCAATGCACCAAGTGCTGGAAGGTGAGAATAGGCTGGATAGATACGTTTTGACCAACACAGACACGCTGAACATATGGATCTCGTCTGTTTGGTTTATCTCTGACTATATGACAATTTTGTCTTAATAATTACAATGGTATGGGTGGGCTTTGATGTATCAATTACATTAAAATCCCACAATTGCAGCAGTCATCCTTTGAAATCACATCTTATGTCATCATTTATCACATATTAAGCCTTGCATCATCTTAATAGATTCAACAAATGGTGGCATGTTGCACACTTTCCCAAATACTGCTGTGCTTGATAACGTAGAAGTCATCAATATTTTGTTTCAATACTCTTAGACCTAACAAACCCACTCACTTAACTATAATTCAACTTCTCCATTTAAAATAATGATTGAATAGCTAAATAAAAGTAAAGCTTTGGAGTTCCAAACACTTCTGAAATTCCAACTTTACAGCTGCCAACTAGGTGTCTTAATATTTGATTATCGAAACAGTATCTACAGGGCTAACAGACAGGGTGTAGAATTTAGTGCCCGCCAATGAATGTAATAGATATATCATGATTTCTGAAATAGGTCAGGGCTGGGCTCAGATATGCAACTACATGATTTCATAAGGCACAGCAAGATGCATTTTATTGGAACTGGGTCATTGTACATCATTATTTCAATTTTGCAAAGCTCAACTCCAAGGACAAGCTGAAACTTACTCTGATTTTGGGCACCACTCTTCGAATTGTCTCTGAAGTGTTCTGCCGCATCAGGTTTGGTAGATTAACAACAACACTGGTTCGCTGCACATCTTGACCAGAACTGCAAACAAAACAACTGCACTTAAACCTGCAAACTGAACATCGGGCAGATAATGCAAAAGTAGATTTTGTGTGTGCATTTATGCACGCAAGTACACATGGGTGAGGTCAACTATGTTTACACCTTTTAACATTGCACGCTGTTGACTGCAAACACATCAAATAGTAAACATTTTTAAAACTAAGGATTAATTGGTCAGCTGATCAGGCAGCTTCTTGAGCAGAGAAAAGGTGTTAACATTTTAAGTCATGGCCTTCATTGGTATTCTAATTAACAGATTATTGACCTGAAACGTTAACTCCGTCTCTCCTCAGATGCTGCTTACCTACGGAGCTTTCCCAGAATTTTCTTTTATTATTTTGGGTTTCCAGCATCCACAGCATTTTTCTTTTGGATTAATTTGTTAATACATTTTGCTAACTGTGTGGTCTAAAGATGGGATTTTAATGTTACAGTTAGTTATTCACTTTTACATTTAATTAATATCTGAAGTAAATGCAGGTATGCAGGAAAGGATAGGGGTAAAATTCTACTTGCTACTCTTAAATGATACTGGACTTGTGAAATCAAGCACTCTAACTGTCATAATCACAAACCAATAAACAATTGAAAAGGATCAAAAACAAAAGGACAAAACAATCTGAAATTGATTTGTTCAAGTTTACAAACAGATTTCTAACATTATCAATGTCTAACAGTGAATTGTCAATGTTTTTAAACCATCAGCAGAGTTATTGAAGTTGTACTGCATATCTTCAAATCTAGCAGGATCACTCTAACAACTGAATCAGAGATAGTAGGAACTGCAGATGCTGGAGAATCCGAGACAACAAGGTGCAGGGCTGGATGAACACAGCAGGCCAAGCAGC